CAAGGCAACAAATAGCATTTAACAGACATATAAAATGGACAAACAACATCTCATAATTAAGTCATAGCATCATCAAGGTAGATTAGAATATTGATTGGAATGACTAAAAGACAGGATCTGACATATCGAGCACAGATACTAACACAGGATAGAGAGCATTTGTCCATAGAACACAACATATCAGAAAAAAGCAGAATAAAAGTATCCACGCGATATTTCTTTTACAATTTATTGATATAAAAATGTACAACTAAATAGCCTAAAGTTATCTAAAGTTAAACTTTTCTATTAAAAAAGAATCACAAAATGTGTTACATGAGAAGCTTTAAAATCAATAAAAGAAGGCCTAAATTTTAATACTTTATAGAATAAGCTTGATAAACATTTCCAGTCATCATTAAAGAAAATTTATCAATATCAAGATTGCGTCATCCACCTAAAATGCCAAAATCTTAAATAAAATAAAGTGATCAATAATCTTCAACCTAAACTAGAGAAAGCTTATGCGTGTTGCAAATATTTCTGATTCAAATCTTGAAAAGAAACACATTAGACGCGATTTCAACATGCTAGAGCATATCAGAAGCATGTGTCTGAGAAGTGTTTGACACGAGCATGAAAGGCTTTTGAAGAGACTATGTTTCATATGGTGTGATAATTAATAATATCCTGCCATTAAGTTTATTTTGCACGAGTAAACAATACAAAGTGGCATGAGTAAATCACATAAAATAGGCAACTATATCCAACAAAATTTCCACACAAAAAAAGCCAATTAGAAAAAAAAAATTGATTACTTGGAACAATCAATTGAATTAATGGAATCAGATAATTTAGGTTTTTAGGACACTAACAAGGCTATGTATATGGCTAATTGGGTTTCATAAAAACACTCAAAAAAATACATATAAAATAAGAAGAAAAAAAAACTGAGCAAGCTGAAAAAAAGGTTTAAGAAATCAAGAGGATGCCCATTAGGCCAATTGTTGGGGAGAGCCAAATTGCCAAAAATATCATGGAGGCCTGAAAGGCCGTGTCTCATCTCTTCTTCCATCATTATCCAGAAGGATCAAGTCATCTAATATAATTAATGTTAATCGCCTTTAGTGGTTGTCATTATATCTTGCTAGCTAGCAACAGACAAGAGTTATAAAAGTTTGCCATTGAAACTCTCTCTGATTTTTTCATAAATAGGAGAGCATAGCAAGACAAAAGGAATGCATGTCATCATTTATGTGCCTACCATTTTAAGAAGAAACGAAAAAACTTTTGCCTCATTTTCTCTCTCTGAAATAATACATCCTATAAAATGGGATTTCATCTCTAGAAATGATTTTGAATCATTTTCATAGCAAGGATGGGATGATTCCTTCAATGATGTATCTAGTCGTGGGCACATTCAAATGCATTTCTGTAATGCTTGCAAATTTCGAACTTGCTAGTGTCGATTTCGTGCTTTTAAGAAGAGAGACAAAGAAAATGGGAGACGAAGGGTAATCGATGAAAACACGAAGTGATGGGAGGGGAGATAAGCAGGTTCGTGCAGCCTACTTAAATGAAGGAGATAGTTCCCTATTCAAAATCGAAAAGGCAAGCGAGAGAGAGAGTAGGGATATCGGGAGAAGTAAGAAAAGACTTAGGCTTGAGGCTCAAACCGAATACACGAGATTATTCAATCAGAAAAGCAGAAGCAACACTCGAATGAGGGAAAAAGAAGAATAGGGTGATTATTGAATGCAGGCTTCATGCAGGATTTGACACACGGAACAGGAGAATGAGACCGAGAATTGGAGCTGCGAACAATGTACAAATTTTCGCACGAGCAGTAGCAACCAGGATTGATAGCATGCTCAGGGATAAAGAGAGGGCAAACCGTGAGCTTAGGTATAGAGTAGGAGAAAACTCAATCAAGAGAAAAATAATAAAAAAAAAAAACTTGAGTTGTTATTTCTATTCAGGCTTTCTTATGTATAAATCACAAATCCTAAACTTAGTTTAATTTTGAAATAAATGCTTAAGGAGCTTTTGGGAAACCTTAAAAAATAATTATGAGAAATAAAATAAAATGAATATTTAAAATATGACTTGAAATAAAATGAGAGGGGGTTATCATCAATTATAATAATGTAAAATATGATTATAAGTTTGGAAAGATTAAAATTCTAAAAAATTAACTTATAATTTAACATTATTGTTACAAATTTAAGAAAATGATAATAATACTAATAGTATATAGTTAACATTGTGTTGATAGTATAAAATAAGTTAGATATTAATTTAGATAATTTAAAAATTAATGATCATTTATACATGTAAATAAAGTAATAATTAGGATTGAATTCATTTAAATGTTAAAATTTTCATATTATATGCAAGCTATTTACATTAAAATTTAAAAGATATTCTAAAATTCTAATAAGAACCAAAATAATTAAATTTTGACAAGATGCCAAACAAATTTTAAGTGAGTAATACAAACATAATTATTAAATAACGGTTAATTAATGTGCATAAATATAATTTAATGAATTAAAAAGCAATGCATAGCTTTTAAAAGAATTAATTGAAATATAAAATTATAATAATGCATAATAATTTCAAAACTTGCATGTTAATAATAATATTATGTTATGGAGTAGATTAGGCGATTTAAAATAATTATGATACATATATTTGAGTAATAAAAAGTTAAAAAAGATTGAATAAAAAAAAAGATAATTACCATAAACTATATGGTATAGGTGACGCATTGAAAGGGTTTGTGGTTCTGGAGTAATTGAAGCAGAAAATCAAATCATCGGGCTTCAATATGAGAAACCACAACTTTAAATTATAGTAATATTTTGTTTCTTATAAACAAAATAGAGTGCATACAAGATAAATGATAAATTATTTGCTCTGTAAATTGTGTTAATCATATTGAATTATTTATTATCGATCTTTATGCATGTTTATATTTATTTATATCATATACTAATTATTGAGTATTATATAATATCATTATGATACTAGTTGAGTAGTTGAGGATGCTAAGATACTCATGCACATAAACTAGAAAATAATAACAATATTGAACTATCTTAATTGCTGCAAACTTAAATGGTGCTCTTGTGATTGATATAAACAGTAAGATTGATAAGATAAGATAATATATTACATGATAGAATATTTTAAACATTTTTTGAATGGTCAAATTGACTAATAAATTATCAATTATTTTTAATACTAAGTTATTATATTAGCAAGCATAGTTTACAAATATGAGTACTCACTGCGAATTAATAGGTCATATTATTTTGGATTGAATGATTTCATGTTTAATCTTGAATTAGAAAAAGAGTAACAAGAAGGAGAATTTATATAGAATACACACTTAATATGAAAGAAAGTATATTTATTTTTAATTGTTTTAATTTTTTTTATTAGTAGCTTTTTTATTTTATTTAGATGATTATTACTTAATGATGGAAATTGATTTTCACTCGACCGTCTGTTTCTTCCTCGATAATTGTAAGCCCTCAGGCTCAGTCATGACAATTTCAATAAATGAGAGGAGAATGACTAATAAAATTTGCAATGGAATCTCAAGCTCCACTTGGTTAATCATTCAAAGAAGCTTGCCAAATTCATAAGAGGGGAGAGGAAAATCCTAAGCGAGAAAGAGCATAAAATTTCAAGCAAATCTCTTCATCCATCAAACTTAAAATTTACATTCAAATCTTTCATGAAACTGTGGAACTCTCTTTTATCTCTGGATTCAAGTTATCTATTCATTAATGATTCATTATAATCTAGGTTGGGGCCATTGGGTGACAGTGTGACACTATAAAATCCAATTATGCTGCAATTTTATTTTAGGCTAGTCAAAAAGCAATCAAAATTTCTCGAGCTGGAATAAATAAGATTAATTCAGTCAAAGCTTTAAGTTTAGATCATTAGCCTTCAGTTTGAGATGGAACACAAGAACCCTTCATATTACTTCTGAATTAGCAGAGATTAACTATACCTTCTCACATGAAACACATGGGAAAATGCCACAGAGTAGGTGACGTGTTACCAGAGCTTCCAAGGCGCTATGGTGCTAGCGCTGCAATTAGTATGAAATTCCCATTTTCTATCCTTAGAAGCACGCTTTCAAATAAAAATAATAAGAAAAAACAACTCGGCTCCATTAAAAAAAATAACCAATTGCAAGTTAAAAGCTCATACACTGAGCAAAAGGCTGCTACATAATAAAATTAGCCAACATAGTCCTCTTTTTTTTAAGAGTTTGTAACTAGAATGAGGAATTTCTGCAGGATCTATAAAATTTTAAGATGTATTTTGCAAAATATTCAGAATGTTTCATCAACGATGGACCAAACAACAAAACAAAAAACAAAAAAAAAAAAAAAAAAAAATCACTAACAAAAAAACACAGGGAATCAAAACGTCTATGGGGCCATACAGAACATTATATTTTCCTAAGAAGTGGCATGGAGCTGATCAAGGTGCTAGCGCTGCAATTAGTATGAAATTCCCATTTTCTATCCTTAGAAGAACGCTTTCAAATAAAAATAATAAGAAAAAGCAACTCGGCTCCATTAAAAAAAATAACCAATTGCAAGTTAAAAGCTCATACACTGAGCAAAAGGCTGCTACATAATAAAATCAGCCAACATAGTCCTCTTTTTTTTAAGAGTTTGTAACTAGAATGAGGAATTTCTGCAGGATCTATAAAATTTTAAGATGTATTTTTGCAAAATATTCAGAATGTTTCATCAACGATGGAACAAACACAAAAGAGAAAAAAAAAAAAAAAAAAAAAAAAAAAAAAAAAAAAAAAATTCGCTAACAAAAAAACACACGGAATTAAAACATCTATGGGGCCATACAGAACATTATATTTTCCTAAGAAGTGGCATGGAGCTGATCAAGCATAGAAATAATTTTCCCAGGAAACAAAACAAAAGAAGGCTCCATAATTGAAAAAGAAAAGAATATGATTTCAAATTTCAGACCTGTTTCATCCGGATTGTCATTTTCGATACTAGAAAATGGAAATTTACTGGGTTTGTCGGTAAACTGTTCATCCCTCCTTGGCACTAATATGTATGTTGGCTTTTCCTTGCCAGAACCATTTTTTGCACTGTCCTTTGAAATATACTGCACCTTGAATAAAAAAAATGATAGAAGAATGTCTCCAAACAATACATCAATACTATCTATAGTTACATAAACAAATCAAGATTGAACCATATCAGAAATGCGACAAAGAAACACTAATATAAAAGAACATGATCCAAGGAAATAAAAGAAAACAAAAGCCCAGTGTACAACAAAAGGGAAAAAAATGTTAGTTCTGGAAATACTTGGAAAAAATGCAGCTATGTCGTAACAAACATTTTATGTACCATTCAAGTGTTTTAGTCCAGCGGATACTACCAAACATGATGCTATGAGCAGCAAAATAGAGCGTTAAATGATCATTTTGTGGAACTGTAAAAGCCCCAAGATAACTAGCATTCTACGTCAATGATGTGATTTTTTGTATTTACATATTACACAAATTCAAAGCTCTACTTTTGCGTTGGACAAAAGCTTAATTACCATTTTATGGACATGTCCACCAGCCAGATAAAAGTATCTCCATGAACATGCTGAAATATTTGAATTTCCATCAGGGATATTTATGCAAGCTTGTATGACATTCAATGACAAATTACTTTTTAAAGCTTGTCTAGCTATCACTAAAATATACGTAAAAAGCTGAAAGAAACAGTTCGGTACAATGCCTTGAGCACTTAATCTATATGGTATACTAACTCCTTAAATAGTACACAGAAAGCCAGAGAACATAAAAAAATGTGCTGATAATCTGAAGAAACAAAGGGAATAATGTCAATAATATGGCAGCCTCAAGTTCCCTAATATGCCAATGTGCAAAAACAGGATAGAGCAATGCAGCGTGAGCAGCCGCTTGCCAGCAGTCACACGAAAAGCACTATACCGATACTTAAATAAAAGCAAAACAACACTGATGAACAATGATAAAAACCTAAAGCTATAAAAATCCAAGTCCATAGAAGAGAAGAGCTTTCTCAATGCTGCAATTCTCCAATTAAGCAAGAAAGACCTTCAGTGACTTAATATTAGGATTGTGATGTAGTTATTTCAATAACCTTCTGTTATGATGGTGCCCCGGGGCAATTTAGTCTTTATTAGCCTAAAGGCAATTTATTCATTGGTCATTTATTATTGTTTAGTATAAACAGGTCTGATATGCTTAGGGTTATGGATATGCATGAGATTAGGTTTTGACCTTAGGGTTAGGGGTTGGGAGAGATTTCCTACCTCTCGAATTGTAGGATTTGGGAGAGATCGGATATCTCTCGAACTGTAAGTGCTTATCTATATGTATTTGTATTTGTGTTATTTGGTGTTCCTGAAATATAACATTTGTTGCCCTAATTTATGTGTGGAAATAAGTGTAAATTCTTAGCAAATTGGTCTCAAAGCATTCAATTTTTTGGGAAATCAACCACTGTGATTGCTGCACAGAGAACTTCACTCGCCCTCGGCGCCTAAAATTGCAATTCAGTAGGCGATAAAATCTTGTTGGGAGGCCAACAATGGAATTGTGACACTCTTTAACCGGACCTTATGCTACAAGGCAATTAATGGGAAGCCAATGTGGGATCACAACGCTAGAGTTGTGATAGCTGGGAAGCCAATGCGGGATCGCGACGTACAGCAAATCTCGCAGTACAGTCACGATTGGAGCTAGTTGGAAAGCATTGTGGCGCGTGTAGGTGTCTCTGTTGCCACTGAATCGAGCGATACAATCGTGATTTGAGACAACAAAGAAGCAACGACAGGATCACGAAATAGTATAAGGGTTTGAAGAAGACACAAACCACGGGATAGCAGCATACAACGCCTCAATCGATGTCGCGTGCAGATTTAACTGCATCTCTCATTACAGTCGTGATATGGCTACATTTGGACTAGCTGAGAAGACGAGATCGAGGCCCATTGATAGAGGAAAGATTTTTCTCAATTGAAAACAATTCGAGAGATTGGGGGAAATGATAAGGATTATCAAGATGAAATCATAGACCCCGGCGACGATTCAGTTTACAAACTTAAACCAAAGGTTGACCAAAGAATCTTCGGCTAAATTGAAGGGGAAGGAGATCAAAAGAACATGAGGAGAAAAGAATCCACTATCAAGAACCACCTCCCAAGGTTCCGTTGGGGGTGGATTAGAGATTGTCAAGGGAGACAACTGGGCTGAAACATGGAGGAGTCATGCAAGCAGTACTAAGGAGCATGAAGAAAGAAGCAGAGAGGTCGAGATGGGAGGAATGACTATGAACGAAAGAAATATTTTTTTCCTTTGATGCATGGAAAACACCGGGGGAAGAAGAAAGTTGGGATGGAGATGCTAGATTTAGGAAGTTGAAGATGGCGACTTCGAAGGAAAATATCACTTTGAAGAATTTCAGAATGGGATAGAGAATGGTTGGGGAACCCCGACGGAGGGCTTTCATCCAACTGTGCCAGTGCTTTTTGTGGCGGCGGCCTTTCGGGCGAAAAGCAATTCAGAAGTAATGATGAAAACAAGACCGATGGAGAAAAACAGGGGTGGGGTTTGCAAGGGATTGATTCGACACTACAGAGTATTCAAGAGGGATACAAGAAAGTGGTGCTTCGCACTGATCCCAATTTGTGCAAGACGTTGGTGACATTGAAGACTATGATGAAGGTGATTTGGGACGTTGGGCCGGAATTCTTGATTGAGTGGCATAGTACGGAAGAGATACATGATACAAACTTGACAGAGATATTAGTGATTGATGAGTTACTAGATGAGCTTTTTGGGGCGGCAGTATTCTCCATGATTGACTTGAAGTTATGATACAATCCTATTCGGATGCAAACAAAGAATGTGCACAAAATGAAATATCATGACAGTGAATGTCATTACAAGTTTGCTATTAAATTGAAAGAATTACCAGATGATGACGTAATGTAGGAGCCATACGACCTGATTCAGCAACAATTTTTCCTATCTTGAGAACAAAGTATCAAGGAATAATTTTATAACGATGCCCAAAGGCAATTTAGTCGTTGTTAGACCAAGGGAAAATTAGATATTGGTAATTTATTATTGTTTTGTATAAATAGAGGTAGTATGTTTAGGATTAAGGATATGCAAGAGATTGAGTCTTGAGTTTAGGATTAAGGGTTGAAAGAGAATTCCCACCTCTCAAATTATAGGATTGGGAGAGATCAACTACCTCTCAAGTTGTAGGTGCTTATATTTATGTATTTGCATTTGTGTTGTTTGGTGTTTATGAAATAAAAAATTGGTTGCACTAATTTTTGTGTGGAATCTGTGTTGGTACCTATCACCTTCCCCTTTTATTTTGTTTATAACCAATCAAAACTTTTTATTAATAAAAATTAAAGAAACCAACTTCATGACTAATAAAAGTTGAACAATACAAAAGAATTAAACGTACCATCCCTACAAAATAATTAGACAAATTAAATGAGAGGCGCTTCCTGAATTCTATCATATGTTTAAGCTTCATTCTCCCAATTCTACTTCCATTAATATGTATTTTTCACATGTTTCACCCTACAAAAACCATTAAATCAAAAAAACGATAAATCACTAATTAAAATGAGCCAAAAAAAATGTCTTTTTTTGGAGGGTAACAATACATTCTCTAGGAATAATAGCTTTACAGGATGGACTCGAGGGAGAACTACAAGCTAAGTGTCACGATCTCAGTGTGATACTTATTCGCATTTCTTCTTAGTGGAGACAAAGGGCTAAAGTCAGATAGGATAGGGATGCTAATTCAAACTTCTTCCACACAGTGGCTTCAGTGAGGTCCAAATTTAGTTGAATTAACTGCATTAAACTTCCGGATGGCAGCTTCACCGAAGATCAGATCACCATAAAATCCAAGCGGGATTTTTTTTAAGTCCCAAGTGAGCAGGGTCTCACATTAACAACAACAATTGGTCGAGCTTTACTAGTACGATCCATTTAGCTAGCTTTAGCAACCAATTGACTTTGGATGTGACGGAAATAAAAATTTACCGAGCTATCATGCAAATGGGACCTAACCGAGTGCCCGGTTCTGATGGCAACAAGAACTTACAGGGGATTATTTCTAAGGAGGTGTTGAAAGTGGTTCATGGTTTCTTTCTCACTTCACACATGTCGGAGTAGTGGAAGCAAACGAATCTTGTGCTCATTCCCAAGTTTGACAATGCAAATGCTCCAAAGTCTTCCAACCCATCAGTCTATGCCAAACTATTTACAAGGTGGTTGCCAAAATTCTGGTCAATTGTCTTAAGGGTGTGATTCCTACCATTATTTCCCCAAAGCAAGGTGTGTTTGTTCCTCATCAATCTATGTCTAACAATTGTCTTTTAGCTCAAGAGATGATCAATAAACTCAAGCACTCGAAGGCAAAGTCTGATCTCAAGACTATCAAGATAGACATGGAGCAAGCTTACGATAAAATAAATTGGTCAACTCTCGAGGAGATGCTTTATGCATGGGGCTGCACAACAATTTTCCAGAATTGGGTCTTAAGCTGCGTCAAGGAACCAAGTTTTGCTCTCTTGATTAATGACAAGCAATCACCTCAAATCATTGCAAAATGCGGTTTTAGAGAAGGTTGCCAGTTGTCACCATATCTCTTCATTATTTATTTAGAGCTACTTTCTTTTGCTTTGGCTCAGTGAGTGCACCACATTGGTGTGAGTTTGGCCAACAACTCCCCTCTCGTTTCACATATGCTCTATGTCGATGATATTATCCGTTTCTCTAAAGCTTCGATTAGAGCCGCCAACATTTTATCCAATATCTTAGCAAATTATTGTGCATAAACGGGGCAAAAGATTAATATTTCAAAATCTGTCATTCTTAAGTAAATCCACAATTCCTTGGAAAAGGGCTACTAAAATTTTTCGCTTTAAGCGGGTCAAGTAGCTGGACTATCTCAGGCTTCACCTCGCCTTGAGAAAGCTTCACATGAGGGACTTTTCGAAGTTGACACATAAACCAAGTACTAGGATTAATGTTTGGGGCAACAGGCATTTGTCGTCAGCTAGAAGGGCAATGTTGATAATTTTTCTCCTCCCAATGATTACGTACATAGTTTCACATACCATGGTTTCTGTCAGTGTGCTTCAATAAATTCAACGCAATTGCAATTTTTTTTTTTAGAGGAAGGACCCCAACAGTAAATCTTTAAACTATGTGGCACGGGATAAAATGTGCAAGCTTACTCGATTGGGATGATTGGGCTTTCACGCCACTGAAAAATGGAAAGGGCCCCTATGAGCCAGAATTGCTTGGAATTTCTTATAGGATCGAGAATCATACTTGCATCAATGCCCCGCAAGTAAGTACGGTAGGAATGTTTAGCAAACTGCCTACCACACCACATCTAATGCTTGGAGGTCATTTGTGATGGTGCTATCACTTTAAAAGCTATTACTCGATGAAAGATTAAGAATGGCAAAACCATCAATGCTCTTGACGATATTTGGATTTACGATAGGCCACTTGTTGCTTGGCCTTGTTTTGTTAATGCTAATATGCTAGAAAATGCCTAACTTGCTCAATTTATCTCGAATGGAGGCAAGAAGCAGGGGTGGAATAGAGAATGTTTTGGGGTGGGGATGACCAATTGTATTCTACAAATCCCGATCTATACTGAGCTACAGGAGCATTGTTTGGAGCTTATTCAAGCACACTCGTGAAGAAGAATCACAACTTTAGCTTATGAAGCTAAATTTGTCGATAGAATGACAGATTTCTATTAGGTTAAGAAGCTTCATGTACACCCTCAAGAAAAGATGTTTTTGTGGTGAATGGCTCGCAATGCTATACCAACAAAATCTTGCCTTTTAAAATGTAGCCTCAGGGAGGACGGCCTTTGCCCTTGGGGCTAGCAGAAGAGCAAAAATCAATCCCACATGGTGTCTAATTGCTTGTTACTGAATTCGGTGAAGCAAAGTTTTTTCTAGATGGGGTTTCATTTTTCCATTCTTGCAGCTTTGAGGTTGATTTCTATGGGCTTACCCGAGTTAAGGCATCCCTCTCGCCCGCATGTTTTGTTATGTTGTACACCATTGTTGAAAGCTAGAAATGTGAAGGTCCGTGTTCAAATGTACGGCACACCTGTTATCATTGCTACTTCTATTCTCGAAGCCCTCACCGACATCCATCTATTTCCTTTCCGGGAGCGGAGCGATGGAATGCGAGCCAACCGAACAGGTTGCTTCCTATTTCTTCCTAGCAGGATTAAGATCAACGTTTATGGGGCTTTATGGGGCAGGAATTGGTGCTATTATCCGAGATGAACAAGGTAACTTTCTTGTTGCTTTGAGCTATAGTTTTAACATTGGGACACTGCTAGAGTTGAACTCCAAGCTATCCACATCATCCAACAAATTATTGAGCCATGCATGCATGAATGCAAGGAGATCATTATCGAATGTGTTAATTCCAACATCATCTGCATTATGTGTGACCCAGCGAAAAGGAAATTTTGGGAGGCTCGCCCGAGATCTAGATAGGAAATCGACTTCTTGGCCTCTTTCAACTTTCAAGCAAGTGGCCTTCCTTCACACTGCTACAGATTGCAACAATGCTACTCATTTTTGTGATACTTTAGCTTTAAATAATAGCTTTGTTTTGAATCATTTAAATGATTATAGTGATCTTATTTCCATCCTTAGTGATGAAGGTTTTCTTTTGCATATGCATTGTTTACACTTTGCATTTTTGGTAACCCCTTCGTTTTGATTAAGGCAAATTGCAAAATTCAAGAATAATAGCATTTAAATGAATATGATCACCTGATTCATATTTAATGAATAGCAACAAGCCTAACCAAAAAAAAAAAAAAAAAAGCACATGCATACCTTCAAAAAGGGCCCTCTTCGCTTCTCAGAACCACGTTTAGAGGAAGAACTAGAGCCATGACCACCAACTAAAGCTCTTCGACTTGGTTTTCCATTACCAGATGTTCTCTGCTATCAAGAGAAAATGTTAAGTGATATTCCCACTAATCAAATGAACTCTGAGAAAGTCAATTTGTAACATAATTATGAGATTTAAAGGCATGAATAAACTGCAAAACGAAAAACAGATAATCCTAGAGGTAAAACTAAACAAAGATAAACAAATTGTTTCTTTTATTGGTATGTTCAATGAAAGAAAATGATCACCATATTCCATGTCAAGCGAAGAATCTTAAAGCTGAAGGTCTGGCGCACACCCAACCTACTACCTATTATTGTGCATACACTAAAACAGTATATGGAAAATAAAGAGACATTAGATATTTATATATAACATACATACATACATACATACATACATATGTATGTACATATGTATGTACATATGTACGTATGTATGTGTGTGTGTATGTCTGTATGTGTTTGTGTGTGTGTGTGTGTGTGTACGTACGCATGCACATACATACATCCATCCATCCATGCATGCATACACACACACACGCACACATACATACATGCATGCATACACACACACACACAGACATACATACATATGTATGTATGTGTATGTGTGTGTGTATATATCAATTTGATAATACAAAATTAACGCTATCCAACCAACCTTTATGATATGACTGGAGAAGAAAGACACAACTCAACATTTTATGAATTCAAGGTCATGGCCTTTACCGTTTACTAAGAAAAAGCAAGGACTTATTGTCATGCTATTATCATCATCTTCATTATTATCACTTCTATGAATTCTCCTTTATTCAGTTGAGTATTTGATGAAGTGAGAACTTTACCTTGTGAAGTAATTTTTATGCAACTTCTAGCTATATAAACATCAGCATACTTCTTTTTCCTTCCTAAATCTTCCACATCAATTCTATCTATTTGACATTCTTGCTTCTTTTTCCCTCCATTATGCATGTGCATTTCATTGAAGTCAATTTTATACTACCTTATTTTTAATACATGCCATCCTCATTATATAATTCGTTCTCATTCTATCATTATTAATTTAAGCGCACCTTCATTTAGCATTCACAATTGTTTAATACTCAACTTATTCATCAACAGCTCCTTTACTGCAAAAGACATAGATCCATGTAGCATAGTTGATTTACTTACATTTTATAATTTATATAGCTAAGTCACTTTAATATTCTCTTGTAAAAAAAAACTCTTGAGACACTTCTCTTTATTGAATAAGTATCCTTGTTTATCCCAATTCTCTAGGTTGACTCTTTTTTTTGTGCTTTCTCCTTTCTTTATATGCTCAAGATGTGCCTACTTTTAAGTATGTCAAAATTTTGCTAAGCTTCATTATCTTGCTAATCATTGAGTTGGCTTCAACCGTTTAATGAGCAATAGTTAAGCTAACCTCAAGCTTTATAGGCAATAACTAAGTCTTAAGGTTTTTTAAAACCAACATGGTATTTCAAATATTAATTGAGCACTATTAAGGCCTTAATGTGGCAGCATTCCTTTGTCACAATCAAGAATGATAAATCCATACATCTACATTATTTTTCACGTACGAATAGAAGATTTGACAGCCACAACAACCCCTACTTTCCAAAATGATAGACAAAAGCAGTAAAATTAATATAAGAAATACTCCTGCAGCTATAAAAAATAGCATAGACAATACTAATTATTCTCTCCTATTTGGGAGAGGCTGGAAGTTCATTCAAACATTTGCTCCTCATGCATAATGGGACGAAGCACATTCAAACTTTTGCTCTTCATATAAAAAAAAACTGAACATTGGGTCGAGAGGAATGATATCCTAGCAAATCACATTGTTTTGTGCAGCAAATATATGTCCAAGAATGTTAAAGCTCTCATGAACCTCATTCATAGGTTTACAACGAATGAACAAACAATTGCAAGTTATAGCAGGCAAAAAGGATCACCCAAAATCTGGAAGGGGTCAAAGCTTCTGTAATATATACAATACAATAGAATTTAAGGCTAAAACTTTCATATTATATATAACTGCATATGACTTTCTCAAATGTAGAGTGGCCAGAGCCACCGTCAACATCCTCGTTCCACCACTCAATGCAAAATAATTTACCCCCCCTCCACGAGAGTAATAATGAATTTATTTCATATCATACATCCCAATAACACAGTAATGGCAAATGAAGCATGAGTTTGACTGTGATTAGATTCAATAGCACCTCTTGCACATTGTTATGTGCAACACACAGAATCAAACTTTTGGAGTTCGATTATTAAATAATATATGTAGATGCAAGCACACGCACATAAAACAGTCAGAACTTCAAATATATAATAAAAGAAACAATGGTCCAATCTAATAAACACAAAAATGATACCTGAGATCCACCCTTAGCTGCTCGTTTCCGCCTAACAAAATCCATAAGAGGTGTTACTATAGGTGCCTCCTTTGTACCTGCATGTATGAAAGCAAACGCAACTAGCATTCAAATTCTTAAAAAGGTTAATGCTGACCCATATAAAATTTCTACGCCACTACGCACCAGCTCTTTCAGCCTCTCTCCTTTCAAGCTGAATTTCAGCACTAGGGAGATTTTCCGTAGGCTTTGCAAGAAGCTCGAGAAACTCTAGATAGTCAGGGTCTAAATATACATCAAAGAACTCTTTATAATTAACACAGAAAACATAGATTACTTGATGCATGGCATGAAAAATTGAATGAATTAATATATATATATATATATATATATATTTATATTCTCAAATACCCTTGAATATAGACCCTTCACGGCCATCTTTCTTAGTCCAGGATTTTGGAATGCTTTGTGACGGAGCATATTCTACCAGAACCTTAAACTGGGTGCCTGTTCCAATATCATTGGCAACAAAATTCATACGAAGTAAAGCAAAAAAGATCATATTTCAAAAAAGAAAATTATCTAGGGAGATAGCAATCAGACAAAAGGCAAAATATTTCAAAACTCTATAGCCCTAAAACAAACTTGGCATTCTTATCATACCATCCGGAAAATCATAAAATCTTGAAACAAGTTAATTGCTCGAATATAGCAATCATTTTAGGTTGTGTAATTCATAGAAATGGTTTCAATTGACAGTTTGAGACGATCAGAATGTAAGGTAGCAAAATGCTTATAAAGTTAACACGAGAATGCTAAAACCAGCTTATTGAGAGCTTTTATCTTAAGCCAAGTGCATGAACCAAATCAGCAATAGTAGCTATATACATGATCTTTAAAAGACAACAGACCATAGAAGCATGAGCACAAAACATGTACATCAAATATAATAACAACAGGTATAAAATAATTGATAATAAATGTGTAAAAATAGTCCCTTGACTCTTTGTAAAAATAGACCCTATAAACTTAATTCCTAAACTCTTTTAACATGGGTTGAAACAGTCTCACCGCTAAAATTGGGGTTAAAATGTGTATAACTATACTTAACTTGAAGTGCTCAAAATAAAGGATAGCAGACCATTGATTTCTGAGATGAATAATATGGTAAATTTTTTTGAAGGAAAAATTATTATATTGATTGAATTGACTCTGGTGACGATGCAAATAATCATGCTAGTGATGGAGATTTAGTGTCAAGTGGTACACCACTAATCCTAGGGCAGAGTTTAGGAGTCCTAGTTTTGAAATTGGTGTGCTTTTTAGCAATAAAGAGTTCAAGGAAACTATGAAAATTTGTCAATTCAAAGAAAAGAAAAACAAATGTTTGGAAAATCAATCCGGACTGGCTGGTTCAATCGTGAACAGGTCATATGGCAATTCATCTAAATGGAATGTTCCAGCATTGAATTAGTGTGAATCGGTTAGAACTGACGGTTCAATTGGCTAACCGTTGAACCGGTCCAGCTTGTAAAACTGCTCAGTTCCATTTTTGAACTTTTAATCGCCGCTGGTCAATGATCCAATGGCTGCAAACAAACAGAGCTTATGAAGCTTAAAATATAATAAGATAATTACTTTTTTTTAATTCTTATACATGATATAAAGATTTGATCGTCATACAAATTAAAAGCATTATAACATCCATCCAAGTGAGCTACAAACTCCAACTATGGAGATCTCTCTTTTCCAATCAAAAACTTATAATGTTAACTCTCCCTTAATATGTGAGACTAAATGAGTTATGTGAATAACTACTAAAATGAAGAATTGGATTGGGTTGTATGAATTGGGTTTGGTTGGGATATAGGAATTAGGTTGCAAGAATTCATGAAACATGTTATAAACTTATTTATATTTATATATTCATTTTTTTTAGTTTTTAAATAAATTTAATATAAATATTACATTTTTATTATATTATTTTAAATTATATTTCAATAAATTTAATTTTTATTATATCAATAAGTTCAACTCCTACTTCAATCTTTGAACCTTTAAGCTTTTCACTTTCTAGTTCAATGTGTAGTCCAATTTTAAAAACCTTGAAAAAAATTATTAAGCTTGTGAAGAATGATAAGACAAGTCGGATCAATTACAGAGGGCCATTATTCTATTTGCCATATACATTTTTAAGCATGTTGGGAGCAATTCATGGAAGATAAAATTATTCTAGGAACACACTTGCATAAAGAGTTAACACAGTAAAACCCTAACAATACAATAATTGCAAAGAATTATGTTAATTAGGTTCAAGTGTAAGGGTACTTAATACAGTCTTGAAGTTGGATGTTTCGAAAGAACAAATTAAGTTCTTGAAGAAGGCTTCTAAAATGGTCTACAAGAAAAAGAAAGAACAATTCAATAAACATTGAGAGAACAGTCTAGGAATTGCAAACACCAACTCAGGTTCAATTATTTCAATGCACACATGTCAAGACTCAAATTTGAATGGTATAAAAATATTTGTAAGGCTTTATGCTTCTTTTTTTTTTTTTTTTTGCAACTTCAAGTTGCAACTTGCATGTAAAAAAGGCTTTTAGCCAGATTATAGACTAATAGTAGGTGTTAATAGATTTTTTTTTTTTTTGAAAGGACAACAAGGTGATTAACTTTTAACAATAGTTAATCTTCATGGGAACAATAGTATATTTCCAAGTGGATAAGCAGTGGTTAAAGCAAAGAGCAAGCATAGTTGGGAATGTTTCTTGAATTTACATGATAGAGATCTATGTATTTTTTTAAAATTCAACACAAGCGTGTCTTTATTTTTCATAAGCAAAAAGGGTTAATAGTCAATATCGCATTTGAAATTAACCCAAAATGTAACACATTGCTCAATAGAACAACAAGATTCCACAATTGTCACCAAGATATGATAAAAATATCATTTTAACATCAAAATGTTTCAATCAATCGAGATAAGTTTGCTAGAAAGATAAAAACTAAATGAAAAATAAACCAATACAATGAAAAAAATGCATAATTAAGACTACCTTTTTCATTGACAAATATATGCCCATCAAAGAACTCAGCAAACTCAAAGACATCTGCGGGGCTCTTAAAATCAATGTAAGCTCGAGCATATCTTCCATTCTTCTGACTGCACAAGAATCATTAAAGGTATTATAACAGAGAATCAATGGAAAATAATAGTTGTAGATAAGATTGATACAATAGAAAAATGAGTAACAGACAAGGCACCAACTAAATTGTCATTCCATGCTAAAAATTGTTTCTATTGGCATATACCAGCAATGCCATCAAATTAAAAGTTGTCAGCAGGAAAAAGCCTATTATCACCATCCACAACTTTGACAAGGCATACAAAATTGGATCGCACAATTTCATCACAAGTTGCAGAGATAACCGATGTTGTGTATATCATGCCGAGGTAAATCATGGATCAAAAAATAACAAACCAATTCTAATAAATCTATTGACAAAATGTAAATTTGGAACAAATAAGCTACCAGTGTTGAACCCAACAATTCAAGAATACCAGAATAAAACTAGCTCCATCGTGAATATATAAAAACTCACAGAAAGAGTTGTTCTCGTAATCAAAATCTACGTTTAGATAAAAATATGGAAAGCAGTTTAAATATTAACACCCAGTTAAAAAAGACAGAAGAACAGCCCAAAAGTCTAATAAATTAACTATTAGCAGTAAGAAATTAGCGTGCAGGACAGAATCGAGGAAGTGTCAAGCAGGGCAAACAAAAAATGCCCTAAACAGCATTATAGAAAACGATCTTAAAATCATCACAAGAAACCACCCACAATCTCAATAGCATAAAATCATTTACAACATACCAAACCCGGAAACTCTGCCTAAGATGTAATTCTAGCTAGTTTCCTATGAACTAAAAGTGCACGATAAAATTAAATTGATACAGTATTCTGCAAGTTGAGAAAAACATGGAAATGAGACACATGACAGTAAGGCAAGAACAAGCACGTACATCTAAAATTATCGAAAAACCATTACTAATAAAGCATGTGCTAAGGATAAACTATATGAGAAAGGAGATTGCAAGCGAGCCCGCAGAAAAGAAGAACGGAAAGCCAACCTGTTCTTCCCCGGGCGAAAGAAGAACCACTTGTAACGGCCGGAAAACTTGTCGTCAATCTGCTCCATAAGAGCCGACTCGGTAAGCGACGGCGGCAAGTGTCGCAGTACGACCTTGGTCCTTTCAAGAGGATCCTTCATGTCACGCAACCTAAATACCACAAAGCAGGATGTATACCCACCGACTCGAGGGCAAATCGATCCAGACGCAGAAATCACATCTCCAACGGAGCCTTTGATTGGAGTTTTATAGAAAGAATCGGAGGCTTTTTTACTCGAATAGGGTTTTCCATATGCGGGGCGGGGTAGGGGAGGGGAGGGGAGGGGACGGGAGGGGAGGGGCGAAGCGAAACACACGATGAAAAACGAAGAAATCAGGAAAAAAGATGTTGAAAGAGAAAATTTTCAGGGCGCGATTCAACATATCTAATTTATAAATTTACTTTTCTGTACAAAATTTTATAAAATATAGGATAAAAAGATCGACATTTTACATAAATATCACTTAATTCTTTTGTATTTACATATATTATATATATATATATATATATACAACACCAACAAATTGATCATTTGGCCGTAAATTTTAAGATAATTTTTTCAACAAAAAATATTCAAATTTTAATAAAAAATTATCTAAAGCTTTGATTTCAACAAATTTACAATCAAATTGGTGGGCTCAAGGAGAAATCCAATAATATCAAAATTGGCTAGTATGAGTCAAATCAAGCCCAAATTAAGATATAAAACCACACTTGAAAGCTAACTATTTATAATTTGAAGATTAAACAAATTCTAAGTCCAACAAACTTATAGTCCAATTGAGTACACGGCAAGACCAATCCAGTGAACCTAATATCGCTCAAATCTAACATAATTAAGGCATCAAATATTCTCTTAAAACTGAATCGGGTAAATCTCTCTAGGTTGTTTTATGAAATTTTTTTAATTCCTTCTCTATTTGCATAGAGAGACAATGAAGCTTCTGACAATGCAATATTTTGTCTAATACATCATGCAATATAGCACCCTACACGTGTTGCAAAGAAGCAACCTCAAGATGGCGTAACAGTACACTTTGAATACAATACAACAAAGCACCCTGTATACAGTGCGACGGTGCATCTCTAAAGGCGGTGTGATAACGTACCTTGAATATGATGCAATCATGAATCCCTAAAGAAGATGCAGCAACGCACCCTACATACCATGCAACGATATACCACACGATAACAACTTACAATTGTCGTACTCAGAATATGGTGGCCTTCTTCGGACTCTTGAAGCTCTCATGTTGCGTCTCATTGTTATGGTCTGTGCAACCAACTAGGGCCTATGTGGCATGCAGCTCGTGGCAACCTCACAAATAGTGCTTCTCGAATGCCCCATCCCCCCCCCAACCACCATCTTGGAGTTATTCCTAAACTTAATAAGGAAGATAATCTTTCAAAGGTTCAATACATGGGCCGCTTTATGAGCTCGTGTGGAAAACACCCTCGTTATCAAATTGTCAAATATCATTCTTAAGTATGACTTCGACCATATTTCCAAGAAAAAAAATGGTTCATTTCGAGCTATGCCTCAGTCTTAAGATATACATAATATTCTCTTATACCTCATTATGGGCTTAATCGTGGACTTCATTCAACATCTTCCATCACATGCTACAGTTATAAAACAAAAGTTATGACTAAAATCTTGTGATATATCAAAAGTCTACTGTTGAGTTCTCATCGACTTCTTCCATTACATGATATAGTCATCAGACATGCACGCTTCAAATAATAGTCTAGGAAAAGTTGAACATTTATAGTGGCAGACAAGTTCTCCATCTATACGCCTGGAAGTTGGGCCCAAAAGGTCATACTGGATGGGAAAATATCATACCCCTAGAAATTGAGAACAAGACTCAATATGTAGTAACATTACCCCTAGAAAGTCAAGCCTAAGAGACGAGACTCAATAAAAAGATATCATGTTCCTCAAAGACAATTCTAGGGGAGAAGTCTCGATGAAACGTTAGTGGTGGGCATGATCTTCACTAGAAAGACTCAACTCAAAGACCTCGAAATACTACAAACCTTAGAAGACAAAGGTGTGTCAAATACATCAGAATACTGCAAGCCTCATTAGACAACAAAAAGCTACAAGCTTCAGAAGACACAAATACATCAAGAAGCAATGAGTCTCAAAAGGAACTGATGCATTTCAAGTTCTGAGAAGACATAAGTCTATGAAGGCACAAGCTTTGAAAGATACAAGCTTAAAGGGCATAAACCTCATAAGACACGCACCTCAAAGTGTACATTATACTTTTTATAAAAAGTGTGTGTGCTAACTTTGATGGTATATTTTTGCATATTTTCTAAGTCGGCCCCACCCCTCCACGGACCTGATTATGGCCCACAGCCCGATAACTTTCCCGACGTGCTACCTCGCTCTAGATCAGTCGACCAGCCATGCTTGCCCGACGGCCCAACCTGCCGAGGCAAAATAAAATTATGAAGCCATAAGCCAAACCCTTATCACGCAGAAAAAAGATGGATGGGCAGCGCAAACCAAAGCCCCGATTTGCGTTCTATTTATGCATATATATATATATATATATATAATGTATGTGTGTGTGAAAAAATTCTAATTTCTGGTATTTTTGGACGTTGATGTTAACCTTGCAAAAAAATAGAGGGACGATTGATACATCATCAACAATTTTATCGTTTTGAATGAATTTCAAGATAACCTTTTGAGAAACAGATATTCAAGCTTTAATTAATAATCATTTAGAACTTCAATTTCAGTAAACATACACTTAAACTGACCAACTCAAGAAGACTAACCCAATAAAACCAAAATTGATCTAATATGAGCCAAATCAAGCCCAGATTAATCTATTAAACCACTTTTGAAACTTTTAGTTCATAGTTAAATCAAACGATCAACGAGACGAATCCCACAAGCCAATGATCACTCAATTCTGACATTGTTAAGGCACTTAATCGCATTTGAATATTATTTAATCGAGAGAATCACTCCGGTGGAGTTGTCTGAATTACTTCCTTATTTATAGAAATATATATTCCACACTATAAATAGAGTTGTACCTCGCTTTTAAGAGGGTGGCTAGACCTGGAGCCAGGGGAATGTCATAGCTTGCGAACGAGAATAAGTTCAATATTATACACTGAAGATTTGATGAATTTCAGCCTCACTTGAAACCGCCTACTACCGTCGTCCACCATTTGACGACCACCATCTACCATCGTCAGTCGGCCGCTTCTGTCGAACACTATCGCACGCCACCTACTCCTTATAGCGAAGTCACTCATGAAGTCACGTATATTGCAAAATCCCAATGTTTGTTACGGAACAATGAATTGCCAAGCAATGTGATGTGTTGTCCAATACACCATGCAACATCATACCTCGAATACGAAGCAAATATGTACCCCAAAGACAGTATAACAATACACCCAAAAATATAGTGCAAAGTCGCATGCTGCATATAGTGCAATGATGCATCTTTAAAGGTGGTATAACATATCCTGAATATGGTGCAACAACACACCCACAACAAATACTTATAATTGTTGCACTTAGAATACATTAACTTCTCCAAACTCCTAAAGTTCTCTTCTCACATCTAACCACTAAGCCCTACACAACCAACTACAACTTACATGATACACAACTCGTGCATCTCCAATTCTTGCCTCTGCAACCTACGAACACGAGCTCTTATAACCTATGAATGTCATCACATCTCACCACTACGATATACGTGATTAATATAAAGTATAAATATTTTCTAGAATTCTCACAAAAACCGATATACTTCTATATATCATTGGATTCTATATATCTTTTGCAATTAAACGGCTCTCTCATATTGTCATCTTCTTAATTTTGGACTGCATCTTGCACTGAATCTGCGAGAAAAAATAAAGAAGAAGTAGAAATCATCAATTACAAATGGAAGCCACCAATAAGAGCACAGAGCCGAGCCCAAACCCTAAAACTAAAAACAAGAAGCTCAGATTGACTAGTGAGTACAAATGCATGAGTTTCTTCTAAAACGAGAAAGGAGATGATCAGTTCGATCAGAGTTAGTCTCCCATTGCTGTTTTTTTTAATTTTAATGGCTTCCCGCCATGTTTGTGTTCGGAAACTCATTGGTTGATAATGGGAACAACAACTACTTGACAAAACCTCTTTGTTCTGCTTTATTACCTCATTTAATTTTAAAGATTCATCTTTTTATGCTTCTATAGACAACAATTAATTGAATTGCTGAGTTACATTTAGGAAGATTGAATACATATTAGAAAAAAAATTAATCGAGTGTAAATCTTCGTAAGGTAGTAAATTCAATCATTGGATTAGTGTGACGGAAAAACAGATCTTTTTTGTTTTGAAGCAATTGTTGTTTATGGTGAAGGATATAAAGGATTTATTTGAAGGCCAATAAAGATTCAGTAGTCATAAAACTAGCACTCAAATTTACTCATTTTAATGCATGATACATCCAAAAACAATAAATTAATTAAAATAAAAATTTACAATAAACTTTAGATTTGAATGATATTATTATATGTTAGATGCAATAAAATATTAATTCCGCAGACATGGATGATTTATAATCATTTTTGTCTACAGGTGATCTATTGGGCCTACCCTGTCTTCCACCATATGCTGCTCCTGGACTTTAATGGAACACAATTACTTGAATATTATCATCCGCACATGAAATTACATCAGAACACCTTATAGAGATAAGTAAGAGTACGTCTTCTGGCATGCATGCAACCCAACAGCGGCGGTGAATTTAATGCTTGCACAAAGATCATACAGCTGCCCTCCCTACAGATTGCTATCCTATCCAGGTGAAACAGATGGTTGAAATATAACAGCAATATATAATCAACATATTCTATAGATATGTTCCATCTGTCGAGAAATGTGCAACTGCTTCAAATGTCATTTAGTTTTGTGCTAAAATTTTATCATGCAATATAATACGTTAAAGCATAACTTAAATGGGGCCATTTACATACATAGCACACAAATCTTAATGTATTAACATATCTATCTCACACCTAAACATTCATATTTAGGTACATAGCACTCAAATCTTTAACACCACATCAAAAATAATAATACTAATACTTGAAATATACCTTTTCAAGCATGGGTTTCAGTCACTGGAGTGCTGTGTATGTAAATATGAAAGTTTAGGTGTGTGATATGTAAATACATAACTATGTACGATGTATGTAAATTTCCCAAATTAAATTTATGACGTATATCAAGCAGAGGCAAAAAAAACATGGCAAATTTAGAGAGAGAATTACAAATGGTGGAATTAAATGCCAAACAATGGCTTAAGAGGAGGTTAATTGTATGGTGCAACTAACCCCTAATCACTATGCTAAAAAAAACAGCATTTGAAGCATCTAGAAAGTCATTGTTGTTAAAAGCCCCGTCTGACATAAAAAAAAAAAAGAGAAAGGGTGATAAGCACTCATCAAAAGATGATTCATTGCACTCATAAAAGAAGGCAGGCATCCACATAAAGAAGGCATCCACATATTTAACCTGCAATGCCCCCCTCTAACCAATCCTCCTCACAACCCTACATAATATGGAAATTGCTAATCAGTGGTTGAGTTCTGAAAGGAAGTTGGCGCATGCTCCTCCATCAATTTGGAGAGCTCAGCATCAAAATCCGCCTCGAGTTCCACCTCTTCCGCCAAATGCCGCCGTCTCAAGGATATCTTCTTCTCATCATATGTTTTAATCAGCTTCTCCCTTCTACTCTCAAATGCTTCCACATCTTTTGCCTGGCTTTCTATAAACTCTTCACTCTTCTTGCTGTCAAAAACAAACCCGTCCGGTAGTTACAGGTTGAGAAAAAGTGCATGCATGAAACTTTTAAATGATATACATATATAATCTCAGCTAGAAAAATTAAAAAGAAATGGCAAGTTTATACCGACTCTCAAATCTCAGCTCTTTACAGAACAAACATACTTCTATTTACATTTATAAAAAATTCACCAAAACATCAATATTCACAGCAAAACCCTAACCAATATCTTTTGCTTTTTACCAAATTCCGAAGTCTTTTAATGTTTGATGAAGGCAAAACGGAAAAAAAAAAAAAATATAGGTTGAGAAAATAAATTTAAATTTAAAGTATCATATGAGGTTAAATGTAAGGAAATAACTAAATATTAAGTGATTAAATATTAATTTAAATTCGCTTATATATATATATATATAGAGAGAGAGAGAGAGAGAGAGGGAGTTAAATATTAAAATTAATATTTTTTAAATTAATTTGAATATAAATAAAAAAAAAATGAAATTCAAAATGTAATAGTTAAATATAAAATGTACAGGAGTATTTTTCAAAATTGAAGTTATCATATGCTCACAATATAATTGTCTATTTAATAACAACAACAAGCCTTATCCCTCCAATTGAGATCGACTACATGAATCTATTTTCTCAATTGTGTCCTACTGAGTGTCATATTTTTATTTAATTATAATAAACTAAAATCATTTTTTAACAACAAGCCGAAGTCTTTTTAGGTCTACCTCTACCTTTCTTAACATAAGTCAAATCTAAAACATCTTCTCTCCTAAATGGCTCACCAGATGGTCGACGTCTAATGTGACCAAATCATCTAAAACGACTCTCTCTAATCTTGTCCGTCATTGGAGCTACACCAACCTTTCACGAATACATTTGTTTCTCATTTTATCTCTTAAGCGCAAGTCACTCATCCACCTAAGCATTCTTATCTCAGCAAGACTAAAATAAGCACATATGATATTACAACTAAGATTTAAAACGTTCATTTTAAATTTTAAAATAAATGGTTTTCGTGTACCATTAGATGGTTTTCCATACATATATTTAAATTTAAATTTAAAATTGTGTCATGTGGCAATCATAGAATACGCTAAGTGTACCCTACTTGAATCATTGAATACAAGTCTAGTACATAAAAAGATAATTGATGCATGATTTAGATTGTTAACAAAATATAGAACCAATTTGCAGAAACAGAATTTGTGACAAAAAACTACAGATATTGACAAGCAGGTAGGGATGTAAGTGAGTCAAGCTGACTCAGAGACGGCGAGCTCAGCTCGATAAGTGGCTTGTGAACTGAGCTCGATGAGCTAACAAGCCAAGCACAAGCTAGCCCCGGCACGACTCATAGCTTGTGAGTCAACTCGTTTAAAAAAATATTAATATAAAATATAATCAAAATATATTAAATTTAAATACATTATCTCTAAAGTATTAAATGTTAAGAAAATAATATTTTGGATTTTATACTAAGTTATTTCTTAGTATTTCTCTCCTAAATGCTCATTATATTTATCATTTTATAATAAAACTGTCTTAAATTAATATTATTTTCTCTCTTCTATAATAAACAAGTCGGCTCGAACTCGTAGACCTAAGCTCGAGCTCGAGCTCAAACTCGATAAATTTAATCAAGCTCAAGCTCAAACTGAGGGAGCCTAGAGATAGACTCAACTCGTTTACACTCCTACAAGCAGGCATGAAGTTCTTAAATAACAGTAGGCAAAACCTAAGAGTTATCACACATAAAATAAGTTCCAAATTGCGGACAACAGCATTACAAAGAAACCACAAAAGAATTCCATGAAAAATAAAACAGCTAGTTTATTTGGTTGGAAATTTTGGATAGAAACAAAATTATGAAATCCCAACTACGTTTGGATTGGTTATCAAGTTGTGATCAAGAAATGGCAAATTTAAATCTCATCGCTAAAACATTACCTCAAGTTGCAATCTCTGCCATATCCAGAGTTTGAATCAGCAGATTTTGCCTTAGCACGCTCCTCTTGAAGCAACTTCTCATATTGCCTTTCCTTCTCTTCAGTGTGCTTGTGTATTTTATCTATTTGATCCTTAAAAAAGTGTTCTTGAAAATCCATCTGAATAACACATGTTAAAAAATCAATTAAAATTTATGGCTAAACCATAAGATGGGTGTTGAACATTTTATAAAACACTTTATACATGTCCGCAAAAAAAAAAAAAAGAACTGAAAAAATAAATTTATCTGCCAAATGGTACAAAGAAATAGTCATATTCTTAGCGCTGCCGTAAATTCACAGGTACTTAACCAGTGCTAGAAAAGCCATGTTACCTTGCAAATAAGGAATTAAGACTACAGAGTCTCAAATTAATCTTTAAAATAACAGCAATGGTCAATCAAATATCTTATTGAGCTAAAACCCAAACTAAATGGAAATCAAACACTTTAGAAACCCATTAATATTGATAGACGCAATGTCAGAGAGAAATGAGACTTACCATCTCCTTGCTCTCTTCTTGTTGCATCTTAGTTCTAAGCCTTACAATCCTGTTATCTTCACTGGTTTCATGCAGCTTCTGGGTCACATGCGCCACAGTATTTTCGAGAGCCTTTGAAAACTCCTTCTCTTTCACAACTTTCTTCTTAAGATATGTCAGTTGCTGATTATCCTCACTCATTTGTTTCATCGGAATAACCACCATCTCCTGGTATGATCTCATATCAAACTTGAGGCGAGATTTCCCTAACAAAGACAGCTGAACTTAGAAACACGAAGATACACAGTATTCTGTAACAGTTGGAAAAAAATTTACGGCTAGTTTTACAATGCACGGAACTACAGAAGCACCGAATAACCATCCATATTCTGAAGAAGCAAAACATTGTATATTTACCTGTTATGAGCGACATTTAAGTAAAAAACAATTATTTTCTTCTGGATGATATTTTGCACATTAATCTTCAAGTAATGACTGATCATCTTATAATATATGTATGGATCTAGATAGAATATAAAAATTTGCTTTCAAAAAAAATAAAAAATAAATAAATATAGCTATTAAATACTTAAAAAAACAAAAATACATGATCATGAACAAATGTGCCAGCCTGACAATCTGGTACATACCATGTTTTCCATTTTCATTACATTAATATTAAAAGCTGCATTTGTTGTGAAAAATGACGGCAATAAAGTGAAAAACTGGATCGGGAAAATTACACCAAAAAAGGCGACACAAGATTTACGTGGTTCGGCAGATTGCCTACTTCCACGGAGCTGCAGAGGATTTTATTACTTCGAGGATTACACCGTCGACCACGTCGACTTACAAGAAAACTCTCTTTCTCACCTTCTCTCTCTCCTCTCCTTTATCTCTCTCTTTGCCCGAGAACCACCACCACGGAAAGGTGCTCAAAAGAAAAAAAAACCACAAATTTTATTCCAGCCATAAGCTTGAAAAAACCGAAGTAGATTGGAAGGGCAGAGACACTTGACTGCTTGTGATGCATGAATTTAAAGCCAAATTAAAAGGCCCACTTAAGGAAGCTTTTAATTAACAAATCCTACAATAAGCAATGGCAGGAACCAGTCCAAAAGAAAAAAATGTTTCCTTTTCTCTTAGCAATCAAGTTGGCGGAACCCTTCCTTCACATCAGACAAAGAGGTGATTAATTCCTTATTTTCGTGATTCCAAATTAAGCATGGAATCATGCCTTAATGGCCCATTAAGGCAATGCCATAATTCACGAAATCTGGAGAGGAATAAGGCAAGACCAATAGCGTAATTAATAGAAGGAAGAGAATTTAAAATAATGCCATTATTTTAAATGGTTTCCTAAGATGCAAAAATTCGCTCAATTTGTATGTAGTGGACCGAGCACCACATAACTGTTGGTCAACTTTTTTCGATTGATTTTAAAAATATGAATATGAAAATAATTTTTAAGATTTAATTTAAATATAAAAGATATATAGTTTGGATTTTGAAAGTAGTATGTTTTAATTTTTGAAAAATGAGACCAAATGGAACTCATTTGTCCAATAGTTTGCATAATCGTGTCTGATACCGCGAATACTACACCCTCTCGAAAGATAAGTGTAGACCTCAGCAATAGACCCAATCCTGCAAACTAAGAGATTTGTGACATCCGTTTGGTCTGCGAACCTTTTATGTATGACCGACAAGTTCCCCTATTTAATACAAAGATTAAATAGGGTTTATTTTATCTGGGTTCTAAGTTCCCTATAGAGGCAAACCCCTATAGTTAATTACATCCCAAATAACGAGAGTCACTTGAGAAAACTCTCGATAACGATCAATGGTTCTAGTCTTCAAGAATTCAAGGTTCAGTTTTTTATGGTAGGATGAGGAAAATCAAGTGGGAATGGCTCAATGCGGAACATTTATTTTCAGGAGTCCAAAGGAAAGAGAAGGTAGGGGATGTCATAGATCCTGAGGAGAAACCTCAGTGACATCCTAAACTATCCTAAGGTGTGGCTACATTTTTTTTGGAGATGATGTTAATTAATTATTTGATCATGCCAACTTTATTATTTGAGACTTACATTTGCATAATATCCGATTATGCAAATAACCCGTGAAGATAAGAGGGTTTACGTTGTAACAAACAACAACCTCAGAACCTAAAGCGAAATAGGACTTACACTGCATAATATTGTTGCACAGGTGCCTAAAGAGGGAATGTGAGGATTTACGTCGCGCTAGGCGAACTACCTCGAAGTCCTTGTTATTATACTAAGAAGGGATAATGCTGAAGAAGATCCTCTTGCTGCTCGATCTGAATTCCTCGCCGTGCTGCCCACAAAGTTAGCTCTAAGCTCATGTTGTAGCGATGACTCCAGAGTTTAAGTGTTTGAGATTGGTGATTTACATTTCCTAGTTTTGGTGTCAATGTTTGGTTTTGTTTTGTTTCAGTTTTGGTTTTGCATGCAGAATAATCAAATTGCAGGTAAATAAAAAGTACTTGAAATGTAAAATGCAATAAAGTAAAATGTTGTCGATAAACTGTAAAAGATAAACTGTAAAAGCGTACATGGGCATCTGCTACTGTTGCGTGATTAATATTGCGAGCATAGTATAATTTGCAGCAGATCTTAATAAACTTGCAAGAAAATTAAATAAAGCAAGAAAACCCAGCATGAAAGTCATAAAAACGAGTAGTAAAAATCACAAGCAAAAGAAACATATAATCATATATGAAAGATCAGAACTGGGTATAAGACATTGGTAAAAGTGGGGGCTCAGAGCTGGACTGTGTGCTTCCCGACCTTGGGTAAGAGTTGTCAACCCGACAATCTACAGAAGACAGACCTTAACCTCGATCCAAATGACTAACCATGGACTTTTATAAATTTTTATAGAAAGATTGATTTTCATGCAAAACATGCAAAAGTTATTGTTTAAGTCTTTTTTATGCAGAATTCTTTTTAACATGAAAAAGAAATTTTTATTTTTATTTTTATAAATATTTTGTAAAGTGGTACAGTCCACAGGCTAGTCACTCTAATCGTGCTAGAACTACTGACAACTTAAGAGTGTCGGGGCAACGATCCCACCAAGAATCGACGAATAGTATCATGGATCTTTTCCTCTCCCTTATTGAAGATCCTTGAGGTAAGAGATACTATTCTAATAATCTAACCTCGTATCCCTCGTTTAAGCACACATAAGCAATGTCGTCATCGCCCTCGCCACCTAGACCCTAGACTTATCCTAGTCCGATGATCCATATCTGGCATTAACAAATTTTCCCAATTGTCAGGAGGATTTGAGTGTAATATCCAAGCTCAGATCCCAGTGTACTGGGTTTTATCGTAGGTTAAGTCATTGAGGGAATTTCACTGTTGATTTAATTAAGAAAGCATGGGTCACGTCTCGGTGCATCATGTCTAGTGTTTTAGTCAGTTTGTGAATTAGGGTCAAGTGTCTAGTTTCATTGTGCATTCGAGGATTAGGTGAATAGACTCTTACCTAAGGTATGTTCCTGAAGCCTAGGAAGTCTGTGCTGAGAATTAGGTGGATGGACTCTCACCTAAGGTGTGCTCCTAAAATGTAGGAAGCCTATGTTAAAAATTAATTGGATAGACTTTCACCTAGGGCGTGCCCCTAAAATCTAGAAGCCTATGCTGAAAATTGGGTGGATGGACTCTCACCTAAGGTATGTGCTCCTAAAACTCTAGGAAGCATATGCTGAGAATTAGGTGAATGAATTATCACCTAGGGTGTACACCTAAAGTCTAAGAGGTTTACACTGAGGACTAAGTAGATGGGCTCTCACCTAGGGTGTGCTTCTAAAGTGTAGGAAGCATATGCTGAGAATTAGGTGAATGAATTATCACCTAGGGTGTACACCTAAAGTCTAAGAGGTTTATGAGGACTAAGTGGATGGGTTCTCACCTAGGGTGTGCTTCTAAAGTGTAGGAAACCTAAACTGGGGACTAAGTTGATAAACTCTCACCTAGGGTGTGCACTTAAAGTTTTAGGAAGCCTACATTGAGGGTTAGGTGGATGGGCTCTCACCTAAGGTGTGCCCTATGATGTGCTCCTAAAATCTAGGGAGTCTATGCTGAGGATTAGGTGGATGGGCTCTCACTTAGGATGTGCACTTAAAGTTTGCTCTAGAAAGCCTACATTAAGGATTAGGTGGGTGGGCTCTCACCTAGGGTGTACACCTAAAGTCTAAGAGGTCTACACTGAGGACTAGGTGGATGGGTTCTCACCTAAGGTGTGTGCTCCTAAAACTCTAGGAAACCTACTATTTAACTTATGCTTAAGGTGATTTAAGGTTTTCTATATCTTCCAATTAAATAAATCATCAATCCCCATTTTTTTTATGACTTAACCATTTAAAAAATAAAAGAAAGGAAAAGGACGACCCACTTCCGAAACTAGCAAAACCAGAGCGACGAAAACAAAGAGTGGATCGACCTAAAAGCGTTTAAATAACAATTGATTGAAATCCAAAACAATGGGCAAAAAGGGGTCTATAAAACCAATTCTAAACCGCATGCAAATCAACACTAAAAGGCTGCCAAAATAATATGTTGATTACCTCAAAATTAACCCACCAAATGCCCAAACAACATGTAATTTGTGCTCCAAATAATACCATGTAAGCCCATACAACACCTACAATTCTAACAACACACCAAACATCTCTCACAACACTCCAAAAGCTTTCACAGTACTTATATGACCCCGAACAGCAACTACAACACCCAAACAGTTTCTATATGAATTCGAACATCAACTTCATGGGTCTAAGCAACAACTACAGCACCCAAACAACCATCCTAAGCTTCCAATCATTACCCAACAGCCAACTTACGCTTCTAATCAGTACCAAACAGCAATTCTAAACATCCGAGCAGCACCAAACGGCCAACTTAAGCTTCCTACAGGTCTAAACAGCAATTCTAAACATCCAAGCAGCACCAAACGACAATCCTAAGCTACAAACGACAATCCTAAGCTCCCAATCAGCCTTTAATTAGCAGTGGACAGCAGCCTTGTATCTCAGACAGCTCCCAAACGACAAATTGAAATCCCAAGCAGCGCTCCCAAAATTTTTCTAAGCCTCCAGCAGCATTCTTAAGGCTCCAACAGCGATTGGCAGCTTCAAATAACACCTTAACATTAATTTCAACACTTGTAAACTACTTCAAGCGACTTAAACTATAATTTCAGCACCCAAACACGACATGTGAAATCATCCAAATGA